GAGCGGCTGCTGCTGACAGCCATGGAGGGCGAGGAGCTTGGAGGGGTGTGAGGACCGCCGGCACGGGCAGAGCTACTGCTCTGGCCCCACTTGGCGGGCATAGCTGAGTCCCATGTCCTGCTGCTGGCTGTTCTTCATCGTGGGCAAGTGCCGTCGGTCAGAGTGAAGCTCCCAGCTGCGGATTATCTGTGCCTTTATAAACAGTCCAAGTGCTCCCAAGAACAAGATGAAGGAAATTACATCCTTTTTTTAACTGCAAAGCAAAACTACCCCCAAACAAAGTCTTCCGCAGCCCCAAAGAGCAGTCTAAAGGCTTTAACATTCTGGCACCCTGATCTAATGGAAGCTGTCCCTGCCCATAGCAGGTGGAAGTTAGACTGGTTGATCTTTGAAGGTCCCTTCCCACCCAAACTATTCTGTGAGTCCATGATCCTATGAAACTCGATTTCTGGCATACTGGGGAAAGGGCTCATTCAAGAGATAGAAGTGTTTGGATGGACGATGCCTGTGATGCTCTGTCCTCACCTTCCTGGAACATCTTCAGGGCTGTTTGTTGTTCTCAGCCTGGCAGCTAGGTCAGACAGCAAGTCAGGACGCAGTGTGGGTGCTCACTGGGCGCGAGCTTCCCCCTCGGGGGCAGCAACCAGCACTGGGGTCAGCGCGTTCAGCTGGACCCTGGTCAGCTCTAATTCCAAGGTTTTCTCGCGCGTTTCCTGGAGAACAGAAAGCAGCCTAATATGCTGAGAATGTTCTGTGAGCGGGGCTGACAGCTCTGCCACACCATCCGCCCTGGGCTGGCAGCTCTGCAGGCAGGCACTCGGTGTGGGGCAGGCAGTTATCCCCTGCATCCCCATGGGGCTGGTGCCCGGGGGAGCCCTCCAGCACGGGGAGGAAGGGCGGGACCGTGCTTCCAGAGTGGGGGCAATTACCCCAGACATTCCCTGTCCCCATGTCCCAGCCTGCATGCCCTGGCCCCTGGGCTCCCCATGGCTAGCTGTGCCCCGGCCACGCAGGAGGTTCAATGGCTCGGCGTGCAAGGTCCCCCAGGGGCCTTCTCGCCCACCTCCAGCACTGCAAAGTGACCACCACAGCTCCATCCTGAGCCCGTGCTGCGTCCTGCACATCTCAGCAGCATGGCAGAGGCAGGCAGGGCTCGACCCAGGGCACCGTTGTGGCCTTGGCTCTGGGCTGCTTGGGCATACGCTGTGGTGCCAGGAGGGTGCTGCCAGTCATGACCCACGGGTCTGCCGCCACCCCGGGGAGCCCTCTTGGGGCTGAAGGCTATGCTCGAGTTGGGCTCAGGTGAGGGGTGCGTCTGGTCCACCCCCGTGTGTCTGTGTCACCTGCTGCCACCTGCCCCCCTTGTGCTTCGCCACAATCCTTGGAGCACCTTTTGGGGTAGAAATGCTTTTTGGGCTGCTAGAGGTGTGGGGGTGCTCAGGGCTGAGCCTTCCCCTGCGGGGGTGGCGGGTCTCTCCCTCCTGTGGGACCCTCACCCCTGCTCTCTCTTCCTCTCCCCTCTGCAGCACTCGACGCTGTCACGCAAGTTCGTGGAGGTGATGTCCGAGTACAACGCCACGCAGACTGACTACCGGGAGCGCTGCAAGGGCAGGATCCAGAGGCAGCTGGAGATCAGTGAGTAAACCCGGAGGGGGAATGCAGCCAGGCTGTGCGTGCCATGGGGCTGCATCCTGCACCGGCTCTCGCTGGGTCAGAGCTGCTCCCTCAGCTGTGCAGAGCTCCCCCCGTGAAAACCTGGGGGGGGCTGTGCACGCACCCGTGGGACCAACCGGGACATGGCTCCTGCTGGGGGACAGACACAAGGTGGTACCTTGTATTTCAGTGTCAAACTGCATCTAGCAAAGCACATGCAGCGAAGCACAAAAACTCCCCTCAGATTTTTTTTAAATGCTGCATAGAGAGTGCAGAGAGCACAGGGAGAGAAATTTCTTCCTTATTTGCAGCTAATTTTGAATTCAAAGAACCTAGTGGGAATTGCTGACTTCCATGTGTTGCCTTGCCTTTCCTCTGGGTGCTTTTCGTCACAGGTGAACTGATCTAAATATAAAACCAGAGAAGTGAGCTCTTGACATGGGAGCACTCGGAGCTCGCAGTCGTTTCCCTTGCTGCAGGAGGAGCGTGAGCCTCGGTGCCTGCCCCAGGCAGCAACTTGGATCCAGGACCCTGATGGCTCTTAGCAGCAGTAGTGGTGTCTTCTGGCTGAAGGCGGGCTCCAGGTGACACTTCTGAGACTGTCACCACCGTGGCACTAAGATCTCCCTGCAGCATCCAGAGCCCATCGCTTAGGAGGAGTCTGGTCCTGCCTGTCCACAAAACCTGCTCTCCTGGTAGATCTTCTCGGCCATTGGTGATATCTGGTTAGTTTTAGAGTAACATGGCCATCTGCCAGCAAAGAAGAACCATATCACCACCGTAATTAGGGGAATAAGCAAGCAAGGGAGAAGTCAGGGCATGCAGAGATTATAAGAGATTTTTGCAAATAATCTCATTGTCAGAGAGGCATCATGGGTTTTAGTTCTTAAAATGAAAGAGTCTGAAGCTAGTCCAGGTTTTTTTTTTCTCACAAACAAATGGGTGTTTTTCTTCCCTTTTACAACTTGGCGTGAATAATAAGGTAGGAGATCTTTGAGTGAGAATGATGTCCTTGATGGTCACCTGTGGGAATGTCTCTGAAGAATAGCCATGAGCAGGTTGAAAGCTTATGAGTAAGAATCAGAGACCGAGGCAACAAAGGAAACCTCATGGTTGGTGTCTACTGCAGGCCGCCCAATCAAGGGAGTCAATTGATGAAGCTTTCTCACTCCAGCTACAGCAAAATTCCAGCTCTTCAAGGAGTTGGTCAATAGGACCCCCTGGGAAACTGCCCTCAGAGACAAGGGAGCAGAATACAGGGATGCTGCCTAGTTGTGTAGGGATGGGGTCAGGAAGGCCAAGGCGCAGCTGGAGCTGAACTTGGCAAGGGATGCAAAGAACAATATGAAGGCCTTCTACAGGTATGTCAGCCAGAAAAGGAAGATCAAAGAAAGCGTACCCATCCTGAGGAGCAGGACTGGCAGACTGGTAACAACAGATGAGGAGAAGGTTGAGGTACTCAGCGACTTCTTTGCCTTTGTCTTCACTGTCAGTCTCTCTTCCTATACCTCTGGAGGGGATGGGCTGGAAGACGGGGACTGGGAGAGAAAGTCTCTCTCACTGTAAGAGAAAATGTGGTTCGAGAGCACCTTGAGGAACCTGAACATACACAAGTCTATGGGACCTGATGAGATGCTTCCCAGAGTCCTGAGGGAACTGGTTGATGTAGTTGCCAAGCCACTCTCCATGATATTTGAAAAGCCCTGGCATTCAAGGGAAGTCCCTGGAGATTGGAAAAAGGGAAACATTGCACCCATTTTTAAAAAGGGTCAAGAGGAGGACCCTGGGAACTACTGACCCGTCAATCTCACCTCTGTGCCTGGGAAGATCATGGAGCAGATCCTCCTAGAAGCTATGTGAAGGCACATGGAGGATAGGGAGGTGATTCAAGACAGCCAGCACGGCTTCACCAAGGGCAAGTCCTGCCTGACCAACGAGTGGCTTTCTGTGATGGAGTGACTACATCAGTGGACAAGGGAAGAGCTACCAATGTCATCTGTCTATCTATCTGGACTTCTGCAAGAACTTTGACATGGTCCCCCACAACATACTTCTCTATAAATTGGAGAAATATGGATTTAATGGGTGGACTGTTGGGTGGATGAGGAATTGGTTGGATGGTTGCATCCAGAGGGGAGTGGTCAATGGCTCAATGTCCAGATGGAGATTGGTGCCCCTCAGGGGTCCATATTGGGACCAGGACTGTTTAATATCTTCATTGATGACACAGACAGTGGGATCGATTGCACCCTCAGCAAGTTTGCAGATGACACCAAGCTGAGTGGTGCAGTTGACACACCTGAGGGATGGGATGCCATCCAGAGGGACCTGGACAAGCTTGAGGAATGGGCCCGCATGAACTTCATGAGATTCAACAAGGCCAAGTGCAGGGTCCTACACCTGGGTCAGGGCAAGCCGGTATCGGTACAGACTGGGGCATGAAGGGGTGGAGAGCAGCCCTGCCAAGAAGGACTTGGGGGTCCTGGTGGATGAAAAGCTGGACCTGAGCCGGCAATGTCTGCTTGCAGCCTAGAAGGCCAACCGTGTCCTGGGCTTCATCAGAAAAAGCATGGCCAGCAGGTCAAGGGAGGGGATTCTGCCCCTCTGCTCTGCTCTGGTGAGACCCCTCCTGGAGTACTGCGTCCTGCTCTGGAGCCCTGTTGCAGCAGGTCCAGAGGAGGCCACCAAAATGGTCCGAGGGGTGTAACTCTGCTGTGGAGGAAGGCTGAGGGAGTTGGGGCTGTTCAGCCTGGAGAAGAGAAGGCTCCGGGGAGACCTCACTGCAGCCTGTCAGTACTTAAAGGAGGCCTATAAGAAAAATGGGGACAGACTTTTTAGCAGGGCCTGTAGCAATAGGACAAGGGGTAACGGTTTTAAACTAAAAGAGGGCAGATTTAGAGTAGATATAAGGAAGAATTTTTTCACAAGGAGGGTGGTGCAACCCTGTCCCAGGTTGCCCAGAGAGGTGGTAGATGCCCCATCCGTGGCAACATCCCAGGTCAGGCTGGACAGGGCTCTGAGCAACCTGATCTAGTTGAAGATCTCCCTGCTTATTGCAGAGGTGTTGGACTAGATGGCCTGTAAAGGTCCCTCACAACCCAAACCCTTCTGTGATTCTGTGAGCTGCAGAAGCCTGGGAATCCAGGTGCTAGTGGAGTATGGTAGTTTCTGTGGAGGGCTAGAAGGAGACTTGGCTGTGCTAACCTTTCCTCTGTTAAGATTAGTCTTTATGATGTATAATAATAATAGAAATGTTTCACTCTGGCTGAACGGGAAGGTTGACTGACATGAGGCTCAACAAGAGCTCGACATTTAATGTAAAGCAGGACATGTGTGTCAATGTGAGTGTGTCAATGCTCCAGCTGACTCATTCATCAGCTAACATCATTCTGTAGGTGATACCCAGCCACAGGGGTGGCTTGTAATGTAAATAGGAATCTAAGGTATCCCTATGCCTCTCTTCTAAGAGAGGACAAGATTTGAAAGGACTTAGCCAGGTCCTTAATTGTCTGCAGACCTGAAAGAAACCTTCCTCTTTTTTTTCTACTCCCACATTTTGGAAGGACTCTGCTACTGTGCTTAATTTATGCAGATATATTAAATTATACTTGTCTTCACTCTGTCCATCCTGCTGGGGTGTCCATGCCTGACAGAGCATTGATGGGGCACAAGGAAAAGGCTGCTCAGGACTCACTGTGGTGCAGTGGCTGGGTGCGGAGGAAGTATCCTACTTACTTACTTACTTACTGACAGTGACGGACCTGCTTTCCCTTCAGGGTGGAGGTGTGGAGAAGATTCAGAGGCAGGATGGGGTTTGCGCTGGAAAAGTGCAGAATCCTGTGCACAGTCCTTTGCAAAAGCCGGGTTCCTCTGTCAGGACAGTGGAAAATCTCTTCTTGCAAAAGGGCTTGTCAAAAGCCACAAGCTTATTGAGGTTTTATCAGGAGTGCTTCCTGGGCAGAGGGCTGTGCTTGTTTGTCCCGGGGTGTCGCAGCCAGCACCTCAGTCCCTGCTGCTCCAGGGGCCCTTGAACAGGCTCTTGTGAACGGAGCATAGCTGGGATGTGACAACTGCACAACGCTCTACGAAATCCTCAGCTCTCGTTTTCAGCTGATGAATCCAAAGATAGAAAGTGCCGGGAGCTCTGACAGCAAAGCCAGTAAATCATTTGGGTTTTAAAAGTATGAGAGCAGGGACTTCCCAGCTGCTCTGAGGAGGCTCCCCAGTGCCTGGCGAGCTTCTCTGTCCTAACCGCATCTGCTTCTTGCTCTGCAAGTAGGACAGTTGCAGAAGAAACGGTGATGTAGAGTCACTGCCCTGGGCCATAGCCACCCTCTGGGGCTCCCCACAGCCCCCTCAGGATCTGTCCCTTCTCTCTGTGTAGGCACTGCCGTGGCTGTATGTGCCAGAGGTTGTGCCTCAGCGACCCTCACCGTCATGCCTGCCCATCCAGCACATGCTGAGCCCAGGAGCCTGTCTGGCATGATGTCCTCTCCTCTCACACTGCTTAATCTCCCCAGCCTCAATTGTCACCCTCACCTCACCCTTACTCACCCTGCTCCCAAACACACCGAGACTGCAGATGCCATGGAGGGGTCGCAGGATGCGCTGTGGAGTTGGTGACGGCAGGACAGATGCTTGGCGGCTGTCTTCTGGCTGGACTGTGTGTCCCCCCCAGCGGTGTCCCCATGTCTGCTGGGAGCCGCGCTCCCCAGGCACAAGCCTCCGTGCTGCCTGCGGTGGGAGGTGTCGATCCTTCTTTTGTTTCCTCTCCGTTTTGTCCATTATGAGCAATGATATCTTAAATCTAATTAGGTTTTGCTCCCAGGGGAATTGAATTTGAGGCTTGGAGGAACTTTCTGTGGTGAGTGTGCAGCTTGGAAGCCATGGAGGTGCTGCGCAGATGCTGCTTGTTTGTATGAACAGTTTTATTATGTGTGAGAACTGAGGAGCCAAAAATACAGCATTTGCCATCTCCAAAGGCACTGCGGGAATCAACCAGCCCCCGCCCCACTGTGCGAGACCAGGTTAATTGATGTGCAGAAAGACAAACTGTGGCTGCATCCCAAGCTGCCCTGGAGCCAGGAGAGTCTGGGGGATTGCTCCAGCCCCAGCGGCTCCTCTGGGCAGCCCCGGGTGGTCCCGAAGCCCCTGGTGCTAAGACGGGCTTATTTAGGATTCCTGTGACACTTTCATCTCTGGAATGGCCACAGTATTTATCTGAGCTAAAAATGTCTTGTCGGGTGAAAATGCCTGCACAGTGCTGGAAGTTGGCCCCTGCAGCCCCTCCCTGGCTGAGCAGAAGGCGTCCTGAGGGACGGAGAGGTGGGTGGCAGTTTGTGATGTGCTGGGCGGACTTTTATAGCTGAAGTCTGCTCATCCCAACACCACTGCAGGCAGTGCTAGACTTGTGTGAGCTGGGGGACGGCCAAGTGGGTTGGGTCACTCATACCCAGTACCTCTACACGCATGGGCGGACGGGGCAGCGTTATCCCTCTCTCCATGAGTTGTATGGATTTGTATCTAATGAGAGTTTGAAAGCGAGATCCAGACAGAGGATCCCAGACTTGGGAAGGTGCCTTGTCTTCCTTGTTATTTCCAACCTGAGCCCTAGCTGTGTCTCTGTGGGTGCTCGTGTAGCCCTGCCACGGGAAGGAGGGATGGTGTGAGCTGGAGGAGCACAGCTAAGCTGTTAGGGTTAGTTCAGCCATGGCATGTTTGACTTCTGCAGCCTCAAAGTGCCTGAAGTCTTCCCTATTCATAGAGCGCCTGGCATGCAAAATTGAGCAAACTGGTGTTCGGCGTCAGCTGGGTGATGGATGTGAGCTGTGGCACTGGAGGCTTCCCTGGGAGCTTCCCCAGAGTCCTGCACACCCTGATGGAGCTGCTTCTGCCCCATCCCCTGAGACCTGGTCAGTGGGAACGGCCACTCCATCCAGCTGGGCACTGCAGGGCCGAGGACTGTGGAGATGCCTTGAGATGGAGAGTCTCCTTGGTGGCTTCATGTCTCTACCTGTCACAGAGCTTCTGATGGCCCTGCTGCACCATGACCTGTGCATCATCTCTTGCCATTCTCTCCTTGCTAACTCAGGGATGAGTTTGCTTCTCCCTCTGTGCTGCAGCTCCCAGAAATGCTCTGTGCTGCTTTGCTTATTGACAGAGCTTCTTTTCCCCAGGAAACTTTAATATCTAAAGATGCCAAGTAGGAGGCAGACGTATTTTGGAGCTCTCTGGGGAGGCAGAGGTCCAGCTCTCATGATTTTCCAGGGTTTTGTGAAGTTTCAGGCCAGGGGTTTTCCCCCAGACTCTTCCCCCTTTGTGGGCACCTTGCATTGACTCAGTCCTTTCATTCCCATTTGTGGTTGTTGAAGTAGCTCTGTGGTGATGTGGGCAGCAGATGAACCAAGTATCTAGCACACTTTCATCTGATTTTATTGCTGCTGAGGAGCTAATGACAGCCTTTCCAAACCAGGAAACGTAGTCAAAGGTGGTGGGGAGTCCTCTGGGGTCCTGCAGGTTGGTTACATAGGTTGGGTGAGCATTGTGCTGGATGGCATGGGCAAGATGCAGCCTCCAGGCCTCATGCTTTGGCTCAGCATTAAAGCAAGCTCCTCCTGACCAGCTATGGCCCTTGGCCAAGCCTGCACTGGCTGGGCCGTCGTTAATCCATGTGATGTCTTTGCTCTCCTCCTTCACCTCGCTGCAGCTTTTACCGTCCCCATGCTCTGCAATAGAGGAACAAGACAGCAAGGAGGTGGTGAGAGCCAGGATGAGAGCATGTATCCTGTATCCCATCCCGCCTCTGCCTGTGAGAGACGTGGAATCTCCTGGAGCTGATCCCACTGCTTGCCTTCAGGGCTGTCTCTAGGGCTTGAATTGGACAGAGCACGTAGCCCTTGATGCACTGCAACTGGCATGCTCCTCCTCGTCACTGCACCAGTGACCGCTCGGAGTTGAGCAGAGTCAACAGGAGGGTTTGTAAATTCGTGTTGTTTGAGCTCTTGTTCTTCCTTCCTGGAACCAGGGCAGTTTCAGCCGAGACTGAGGAGCCAATAGGGAGGAACTGGCAAGGGGGTGTCGTGGGTCGCCCTTGGTGGGAGTGATACTCTGTCATGCTAAAACATGTAAGCGTGGCTGGAAACGGGCCGTGGACCCTTCCCAGAGGGAAGAACAGACAGGTTGTTCTCCTGCTGCAAAGCAGCACCTTCTCAGAGCTTTAGGTGTACTCTTATAGATTTATGGACTCACAGAATGGTTTGTGTTGGAAAGGACCTTCAAAGATCATCCAGTCCAACCCCCCTGCTATGGGCAGGGACATCTCCGACTGATCAGGTTGCTCAAAGCCCCGTCCAGCCTGACCTGGAACACCACCAGGGACGGAGCATCCACAGCTCCTCTGGGCAGCCTGTGCCAGTGTCTCACCACCCTCATGGTACAACATTTCTCCCTGATGTCCAGCCTAACCCCACCCTTGTTCAGTTTAAAACCATTGCCCCTTGTCCTGTCACTGCAGACCCTGGTCAAAAGTCTCTCTCCCTCTTTCCTATGAGCCCCCTTTAAGTGCTGAGTGGCCGCAGTGAGGTCTCCCCAGAGCCATCTCTTCCCCAGGCTGCACAGCCCCAACTCCCTCAGCCTTTCTCCACAGCAGAGGTGTCCCAGCCCTCGTGTTGTCCCAAAAGTGGGATCGTATGCCTGGTGTGCAACAAACCAATATACACACAGGGTAGAGGTATTTTGTTCTCGCATATTTATGCAGATATGGGTGCTAGGTGGTATTCCACAAAGCTAGCACACCACACAAAAGAATCATTACATATTTATTGTGTTATTTAATTAGTAAAAACCTGAATCTACACGCTGGTAGATCACGCTGGTCAGTGATTCCCGTAACACTTGTTGCTCAGTTATATTTAAATTAGCCTCGCTTGCTCTGTAAGTCAGCACGCATGCTCGGAGCAGGTCGGGGGGCACTTTGCATAGTCCCTCAGTTGAGTCGGTGCTCACGATCTCCTGCGGCCGCCTTTACCTTTCCCCCAGTTACTGTGGGTTCTGCTGACTTCATACCAGTGACGTTCCTGTAGCAAGATGTTTCCTTTATCAATCCTTGAAGTCCCTCTTTTCAGTTCCTCCTCTGGAGGCTGGTGATTAGTAAGGCATGCGAGTTTATAAAAGTAACCAGGCCTTCCCTTTCACAAGATACTTAGGGAAAGGTCTCATTTTCTGCTCTACATCACTCACACCATTTTGGTGGCCTCCTCTGGAACTGCTCTACCAGGTCCGTGTCTGTTTTGTGCCGGGGACCCCAGAGCTGGACGCAGTGCTCCAGGGGGGTCTCAGGAGAGCGGAGCAGAGGGGGAGCATCCCCTCCCTCGCCCTGCTGGCCACGCTGCTGGTGATGCAGCCCAGGAGACACTTGGCTTTCTGGGTTGCGAGTGCACGTTGCCGGCTCAGGTCCCATTTGTCACCCACCACTATCCTCCAGTCCTTCCCTGCAGGGCTGCTGTCCCTCCCTCCCCTCCTCCCTCAGTCTGTGCTGGTCCTGGGGGTTGCCCCGACCCAGCTGCAGGACCTTGCAAAGAAGAGATATGTGATGAAGTGCGGAGGTGTCCTTGTTGGAGGAACTTCCCAGGCAGGGTGGCAGCATGCACCATGCCTGTGGGGTGGTGGCCAGGCATGGCTGGGCATGCAGGGCCCCCCCAGTGCTCCCGGGGACACTGACACACTTGTGGTGAAGGCCTGGACCAGGTTCAGTGTTTTGGGCACCTCCGTGGTCTGAGCCCCTGGCGCGGCAGTGCTGAAAGCAGGGACTACTGTCCTGCGGGCTGCCCCTGCGCTCTGCCACGTCTCCTCCATTCCCCCCTTCAGAGGTGCCCCGGACTGATCCTGGAGGATGTCATTGTGCCTTTTGATACCACTGACAGAGCCTGTGGGCAGCGTGTTGTGGGGGAGCACCATACCAGACCTCAGCCCTTCCCTGCCTGCCCTTCTGCTGGTTTGGGGTTCATCGAAAGTCGCTTCCTTACCTGCTCTGGCCTGTCTGCCCCGTTCGCTCCTGATCACACCGGTGGGGTGTCTGCTGCCCTCTCTGTACGTGTGGCCTGCTCCCCGCTCCCTGCTCCCGCTGGGCAGCCTCAGCCTGGCGCCGTATAGTTCAGCACTGTAATTTCACAGGTCCTCTCTGGCTGTTAGCCTGAAGAATGCTGCAGTTAATGGTGGGGGATCAGTGTAACCACAGAGTGTAAATAACTCCCCTGTAGTAGTGTGGAGTATGTCCACGGGGAGGGGAAGGCACCAAATGAGCTGTGGGGCTGAAGGTGCCACCCTGGGCCCAAGGAGAAGGGCTGTGCTGCAGTGGGAAGGATGGAGCCTGGTTTCTGTTACGCAGCTGCAGGGCTAAAACTCAGGCAGCCCAGTGACTGCAGCAGTGCCTGCTGGGCCAGTGAGCCCTTGTAAGCTCAGTGTCCTTGCGGCCTTGAACTGGCCTGGGATGGGATGAGCATCCCTGCTCTTGGCTTGCTGCTCTCCATTCCTCCTCTTTCACAGCCTGCCAACTGGGTGCTGGTGGCTGCCGGTCCTTTGGCACCACTCCTTGCCCCACAGGAATGGGCAGCTTGACCAGGAGGGACAGACAGGCTTTCCTGGGTGAGCTGGGCCAGGCTGGCAGCTTGACCGCCTTAAAAAGAGGGGTCGCAGGGCTGGCACAGCTGCTGTGGGATGGCAGCCCTTCAAAATGCCTGGTGCACTCTCAGAGCTGGAAGCTTTGCTCCACTCCACTCTTGGGAGATGCCATGGAGCCAGCAGAGCCCTGTGATAGGGCTGTGGGACCCATGTCTGGGATGGGGGCTCATGGCTGACCCGTGTTGTGTCACTTGCAGCTGGCAGGACCACCACCAGCGAGGAGCTGGAGGACATGCTGGAGAGCGGCAACCCGGCCATCTTCTCCTCCGGGGTAAGCACCAGCACAGGCTAAAGCCTAGCCAGCCCCCTCTTCCAAGGGGTTTGGCTGGTGGACATGCTGCCACAGTGGCCCCAGTACAGGTTTGATGAGCTCAGCCCATGCAGGAGGTGGGACCTGGGTGCTTGGGTCTGGCCTGAGGTTGCTGCCTGAGCAGGAGCTGCGTCCTGGCTGGAGGATGGGGTGGGGATTTGCTACCAACTGCCTGGGCTGGAGTGGCTGGAGGGGCTCCAGCTCTTCCCTCTCTTGGTGCCCCTAATCCTGGCATCTGAGGGGCTGAGCACAGTGCTCAGTGGCCCTATCTTCTTGCAGATCATTATGGATTCAAACATCACCAAGCAGGCACTGAATGAGATTGAGACACGGCACAGTGAGATCATCAAACTGGAGAACAGCATCCGAGAGCTGCATGACATGTTCATGGACATGGCCATGCTGGTGGAGAGCCAGGTAGGGAGACACTGTGACCCGGTGGCCGGCTCACCTGGGGAGGTTAGAGGGCAATGGGGCTGCTGGCGGTCCCCTGCCTGGGTGAGTGCTGAGGGGAAAAACTGCATCTGGGACGGACGCAGCTCCCACTGGGGCTGAGCTGGGCTCCCTGGGGCCAGAGCCACCTGCCCTGCACTCCAGAGCCGGCAGCTGCTGTGTGCCCAGGGTGGGAGGTTTGGTGATGGGTTCTGGAGGAGTGCAGAGGGTGGCTGCCACGCTGGCAGAGATTTCTCCATCACCCCTGGAGCACCGGGCCCTGCTGGGTGAGCTTGGGGTGCCACCAGCCTCGGTAGTCCTGCCAGGCTGCCCCTGGCTGTGCCGCCAGCCCACGGCACCTGGCCCTTCAGCCAGGCACACGGTCTGGTGTCTCTGCTCACCCACCTTCTTGCCCGCCATGCTGCCATGGCCCGAGGAGACATCAGTGGCAGGTAAAGCCCCGCTGAGCCCCCGCTAGTGCTGCATGCTCTGCTCTGCATGGCTGTGCCCTGCATGTCTGCAGCTCTTACGTGGCGCTAGGGCCAGCCCATGGCAGGCAGGTGAGGGTGGTCATGACATGTTGGCATTGGTGCCTTGTCCTGTCTGCCTTGGGGGACAGACACGAGGGATTCGCAGTTGCCTGCCCCACTCTAAGGACTAGACTGTGCCAGCACCCTGCGTTGCCCTGTGCGGTGGGAGGCTCTGAGCTGCTGGCACCCGGAGCAGAGGGGTGCCAAGCTGGCAGCAGTGCTGGTAGCTACCTGCTCTGCCCCAGGCATGGCACAGGTGAGAAGGAGAAACAGCAGCTTTAGGCAAGGTGGGGAGAAGCAGGGAGCATGGTGGGTTCCATGCTTGGGGGTTAACACCAGAGCACCCCTGGGCTTGCAAGGCTTGACCTCCCTTTGGTCTCCAGCATTAGGCTGAGAAACGAGCATTGCAGAGCTGCTGGCCATGACCACCTGGCTCTGCAGCCCTGATTCCCTCCATGCCATGCAGGAGGGCACTGGGCCTTGAACCGACCATTCCTGCCAGCCGTGTTGGCCACATGAACTGTCAGACTCTGTTCCCAGCTGATGCAGGACCTGGATGCTTCCTTGTGCAGTTAGGGTGAGGACAAAGGAGGTGGATAGGCTGGGGGGCCCCGCCCCAGTCCATGTCCCCCTGGCTCCACCCCCCCAGCCCACCCGGGCAGCCGGGGGGGCAGAGCTGGGCAGGAGTCCCTACAGGGCCTGGTGGACCGGCCTTGCCAGCCTCACTCCAGGACCCTCCGCTCTCAGCAAGGTGCTTGTGCAGATCAGAGCAGTCGTCCCTGCATGCGTGTGGTTTTGTGAGCATCCCACGTGGCGCTGCTGGTGCGGTCCTTGCTCCCCTCCATACCTCCAGTTTCAGCAGTGTGCAGCACGGTGTCAGTGTAGATCCTGTTGTGGCTTTGATGTCACCTGAGATATCAGACAGGGTGACCACCAGGCCAGGACCAGGCTGAGGAACCCCTTTGACCCTCACCCTTGCTTGCTTCCCTGCTGGGATGTGCACAGAGGTCCCAGCCCTCTGGGACTGGTCCAGGGCCCCCACCCCAGGGTGCCCCAGGGCACCCACTGCCTGCGGGCAACTGACAGTGTCTCTCTCCTGTGCAGAGCTGCTGGGCAGGGTGACATCCACAGTGTGCCAGGGAGCAGCAGAGCAGGAAGCAGCTCACATCTGCACGCACGTGGGTGCGTGGGCTCTGTCGCCGCTCTGCAGGGCGAGATGATTGACCGCATCGAGTACAACGTGGAGCACTCGGTGGACTACGTGGAGCGGGCTGTGTCTGACACCAAAAAAGCAGTGAAGTACCAGAGCAAAGCCAGGCGGGTGAGTGACGGCACTGATTGGGGCCTGTCTTCCTCTGCCTACACTGCTGACACCTCTGTCTGGGGGACAGGCCCCTGCACAGAGGAGCGGGCAGCCTCACAGGCTGCGTGAGCACTGAGGACAAGCTGTGGGGCAGGGGTGCGGACTGGTGGAAGGAAAAGGGACATGGTGGATCCCATGGGCCAAGCCTGCTGTGAGAGCCACGTCCCGTGCCAAAAGTAGTAGAGAAAAGGCATGGTCCAGCTCTGACTGTGAGCTCAGTGCCAGCTGCCTGTCCCAGTCCCCACTCCTCGTCCCGTATCAGCTTGGGGACACAGGGGCCACTAGCTCAGCTCTGCCATCCCAGGGCTGAGGGGGGAGCTGGGTTGCCCATCCCTGCCCTGGGGCTGCCAGAGCCCCTCTGGCTCCCACGGTGCTGCTCAGAGCCCACCATGGGCAAACAGGAACGGGACAGATCACAGCCCCCAGCTCTCGGGGCCAGCCTGTCTCCAGCACTCATGGTCCCCTATCCCCTCTCTCCCTGCTGGTGCTGGGACACCTGAGCAGAAGAAGATCATGATCATAATCTGCTGCGTGATCCTGGGTATCGTCATTGCCTCCACCTTCGGCGGCATTTTCGGCTAGACTCACCTCACAGGGACTCTCTGTGTGATGGACGGAGCCGCGCGTGCCATGGGGCCGCAGCCGCGCCGGAGCGAACCACGCAGCCCCGGAGCCTCCCAGCAGCATTTCAGTTTCTAATGCATGGTTGTTTGTGACGCTGTGTGTGCGGTGCGTCTGTGTGGAGGGAGCACCGGCCCCGGGGCACAGGCAGGGTGCACAGGACGGTGATGGGTGCAAGGGGGACCCTGGGCAGGAACCCAAGCTCTCATCACTGCTCCAGCCTGGGTGGCTGGCTGGGACCAGGTGGGTACAGAGGTGCCCTTGGGTGCTGCTCTTCCTCCTGTGCTGGGCAGTCTGTGTTAGTGACAGCCAAGGATGAGGAGGGACCAACGAAGAGTGCTGGGGTCCTTGGGAATACAGTGCCCAGCAACCTCCCTCAGCTTCCCCATCACCTCCAGCCAGAGCTCTCGTGTCAGCCACATCTGCACTTGTGAAGACCTTTCCTTGGACTGCTTTTCTCATGGGGCCCTTCCCCAGGGGTGTGCTCTGCCAGGCCCTGCCTCCCCCTGTCCCTGCCCATCCCATGGCCATGGCTGGCTGCAGAGCTGGCTGCAGACTTCCATCCCTGCTGCTCTGCTGCTGGCAGTGGGTGCCTGATGGAGGCTGCTGGCAGTGTGGGATAAGGAGCTGCTTGGGGCCATCACAGTTGTTTGAGGACAGGGACAGGCCACATGGGACCTATGCCACACGCTGGTGCTGGCCTGGCAGGGCAGGGGGGCATAGGTACTTTAAGGCCAGCATGTTTCACTAGCCACACACCCTGCACCAAAGCCTCATTGTTCTGTTCTCAGCCCCGGCACATGGTGGCCCTGGCTCCTGCTGCCCCCAGCCTGAGCTCTGGCCATCAGGGTTTGGACCTGCTCTGATGCCTGCAGCCCCCAGCAGTGCTTGCCTGGGAGCAGGGCTGCTTCCAGCCTCACTTCTCCACATAGGCACTAATGGCTGGGGATTGGAGGCAGTTGAGCTTTCTCCTGTCGTGGTGCCAGGAGCCGCCCTTGTTGCATTCACCCCCCTGCAAGCTAGGAGCAGCAGCCTTCCTCCTCCTCTATCCTACTAGTTCCTGAGCAGGGCAGTGCCTGACTGCCCCTTCCACCTCTTTGCCACCTCTTGGCATCTACCTGCCCCTGTCACCTCCTCCTGGCACAGTGCCCTTCTGCCTGCACATCTTCTGGCCCATGCAGTGAGGCGTCCGCACTCAGTGGGGTGCTGTGGGAGCACCTGGGTGCCCTGTGTCCCCCACCATGCACACTACATGGATGCAGCTACCATAGGGTGGCCTGAGCCTGCTGTCAGCTCAGAGGGGCCCTGTGTTGCCACCATCCGTTTTCCTTGGGCTGGGCGCAAGGTTCTGCCCTCACATTCCTCCAGAGACTCCAGGGCTCCAGCTGGCCCATGCACATGCCAAAGCACCACAGAGGAGTGCAAAGCAGGGCATGCACCTGGGGCCAGGCTCTCAGCCCTACACTGGGATAGGGGCTGGACATGAGCCCAGATTCTGGTAGCAGAAAAAGGGCACTTGATGGCAATGAGTACTCCAGCTGTAGGCAGCATGTCACCTCCCTGCTCCAACTGGAGTGAGGGTAGGGCTGCTCCAACCCCACGCTCCTCCGCACTGTCTGGGTGCTGTAGCACAGGCACTGTTCCTGTGTGTGGTGCCCATGGGTGCAGGGGAAAGGCAGCGGGCTGTAGTCAAGACACAGCGCTGCCTTCCC